CCATGGGGAAGACAGACAACCCAGCATAGGATTAAAATAATGTGGCAAGTGTCATGGTAGGGATGTTCCACAGGGTGTTCTATGGGCCCTCTAAGTGGGGAGAAGAAAAATCTAGAGCATCAGGGTGGGAGGAAGGGAGCCACCAAAAGTCATGTGCCCTCTGAGCCGTGGAAGAGTGGAGGCTCACCCAGAGAAGAGGGTTCCAGGCAGAGGAAGAGCATGACTGGTCCATGGAATAGTGAGAAGCGGGAGAGGGAGAAGTCCTGGGGACACACTGATCACAACACCAGGAGAGAGCATGCTTTCTATCAAGGCCTTCACAAAACCCTGTGCCCTGGCCTCACCTTCAGGTGCTTGACGGGCGTCTTGTTTGTAGCAATGCACCCTCACTGTGGTTTGTCTTTTTATGGTCTGCCCTCCCTGCCCCACCCATATTCCCAAAAAGAGTTTGAGTTCTGGGGTCACATTGACCTTCGTGCCAGTCCTGGCCCTTATCTTGGGGAAGTCACTTCACCTCTCTGATCCTCAGTGTCCTCATCTGTAGTGTGGGACTGATAGTGATACCTACTTCATGTGGTGTTGTGAGGACACAGTCGTGCCCTAGCACCAATTCTTGACACATCCTAAGGTCTTAGTAAACACAATCTGCAGTTCTGTGTGCTTGGCCATTACATGGTGAGCACTGAAGCTTGATGACAGGCACATGCGGGCTCATTACACTATTCTATGTACTTGTGTGGTTTTGAAATTATGATAATAAAATTTATTTTTAAAAACTACTGCTTTATATTGTTTACTGCAACTGCTGTTATGATCCATGCTTCTTTGGGGACTGCCCTCCTTCACTGAAGGGAATTCGAATATGGCAATAACAGCAGAACAAAACATTCCTCCAAAATTCCTCATTTCTACCTGCCAGGTTTGTCCTCCCCAATATTCAGAGGGGCCCCAGGAGAGACCCCGCCCTGCCTGACGAATCCTCATTCTCAGAGTTGGCTCCAACAGCAACATCAGAGTCTCCAAACTCAGGGCCGGCCCGGTGGCGCACTGCTACAGTGCACCGCTTGGGAGCGCGGTGGCGCTCCCGCCGAGGGTTCGGATCCCACATACAGACTGGTTCCCGCTCACTGGCTGAGCGAGGTGCGGGCGCAGCACCGAGGGTTGCGATCCCGTTGCCGGTCCTGGTCCGGTACGGGCGCGACACTGAGGGTTGCGATCCGTTGCCAGACAAAAAAAAAAAAAAAAAAAAAAGACAAAAAGAGTCTCCAAACTCAGGTGTGAGGAGGAAATATTGGAACTTTCATTTTATTTATTTTTAATTTTAAAAAGGGGGGAAATCAAGCATTACTAATATTTAAAATGTGGATTGAAACTGTGCACTCCAAGAATTAAAGTGCACAGACTTACCTGTGACTCATAAAAGAACATATTTTCATGCCTAAGATTCTGGAAAAATGGTAAGTTGAAGGGAAACAACCCTTGAATTCACTCTTGTTTCTTTTTGTTCCAAGAGGAAACTTACTACAAACTCGGCTAGCCAGCTAAAATATATATACTGACTTGACAATGCAGATCCATTGATGAATACAAATACAAAAAGACGGAAAAATTTTAAAAGTATAGGTTGACAATATTATACATAAATTATTCATAAGTCAAATATATATATTGGGTGTGAGCACTCAAAAAATGTTTAACCAATAGGACTGCATGATCAGGGAAGTTTGAAACAACCAGTCTCCGCAATGTGGCCCTTCTGTGGTGTCGTGATAGCCTGATGCAGAGGGGGCCCGGATGTTTTGTCTTGGGTGCACAAGGGAGGCATCTCACATAGATAGGACAGAAATGTAGCAGAAGGTATAACTTCTATCTGAATTTCTGAGGTCAGGTGTGTATCTCATGCACTCAGGCAATCCTGAAAATAATTAGTCACATACATGCTGACTCTGGGAATGGGACAGGGCCCTCTCGTCAATCAGCTATAGCTGATGCTCACTTCAGCTAAACTCTCTGCACCTGTAGGATGCCCCCTCTCCCTGCTGCCTCCAAGAGGGAGAAGGGAGAGCTGTTCTAGGAGAAAGGCATCAGTTGGCCTTAAGGAGAAGAGGTTGGAGAGAAGTTGCTGGTGGAGATGACAGGTCTAAATGCAGCATTTGGTGTTGGTGGCCTAAGGTCCAGTTGGGCCATCAACACTGACCCTGATGCCAGGGTGTTCAGCCAAATTTCTCAAGAGTGGGAGCCTCTGTCTGGGGTGCTCTCTGGGTGGTGGCCTGGACGAAAGAAGCAAGACTGGCTCTTTGGTCCTCTGGAAGATGCTGACACTCACTACAGAGGAGGAAGGACTGGGAAGTGCACCCCCCACCCACTTGCTCTCCTCCCAAAGGCCTGGGAGGTGGGCGTGCCCCCATCTGTGAAGTCTGGCAGGGCATAGCCTGGAAGTCTGAGTTCAAGTCCTAGCTTAGCCTCTCTTAAGCTTTGTTAACTTGGGCAAGTCATGCACCTCTCTGAGCCCCAATTTCTGCATCTCCCAAATGGATAGATTAATGCCTTTCTTAATTCCTGGGAGATGCCAGTATGATAATCCCAGCCTAAGAATGCAATTAGAAAATGGAACCAAATGCAATTAGGAAATTAAAGTGATACTTTATAATTAAGACTAATAATAATTCCCTGCTCAGCTAGAGACAAGGATAAGCGTCTGGGTCAATGGGTTTCTTGCATTCCATGTGCACCTCAGGATTAATGGTACCACAAAGGTGGCAATGGCGGGAGGCCTGCTCTGCCCACCCCACCCTGTCCTCTTCTCAGAGAGTCCTCCAGACAGATGATGGACTCATGGGCCTGGGTGGGCCATAATGGGTCTGCCTGGGACCTGCACCTGGAGAGTGTGCAGACACAGATTGCTCCTGAGCTGGCTCCTTGCCACCCACAGCCTCATCAATCTATCATCCTCTTAGCAGCTGACACCTCTGGCAGCACCTCCCAGCAGCCCAGGTATTAGAATTGCAAGGAGCCCAGCTGCACTGGGGAATACAGATGGAGGAATCTCAGATTGAAATTTGTGTAAGTATTGCAAACAGCCAGACCTGGGCAAGGTGTCTCCACTGCCGTTCTGCCAAAGGGGAGTGGCAGAGGTTTTGTTAGAAGTACAAATTGCTTCTTAATGCAGAGGATAAAGCTGGGCTTGGGCACCTCCTTAGAAATTCCTCCCGCTCCCAGGAAAGCCACTGCTGCATGTCAATTTTAATTTTTGAAATTTAAACCGAGGGCTTTTTGTCTAAGCTCCATCTCATCGGAGGAAGGGGAGGAATAAGTCAAAAAGGATTAGGGACCCACTGGGGATTGCAGATCCATAGCAATTAGACTTCATTTGGGTCTTAGATATTTGGTTTTAATCGCATTTCTGGATGACACAATCAACAAGGCATCAGAAATTGATACCTATGCAACTGTAGATGGGGCCCAACCCTGCCCTTCCCAGTTCCTGGGCTCAGGTGGGCTCAGCTGGGTTTGGGCTCCACAACCAGCAGGACTAGGGTAGGGTGGGGAGTTGAGGTTTGGTTTACGTCTGGAACTGGGGAATGGTAGTTTTTCCCCTCTCTCTCTTTTTGAGCACTTTATCCCTGGAGTGAAAGCAGACATAATCATTCCTTATATTCAAGTGAATGACAATAAAACATTATTCAAATAACATAAGAGCAAAAAGAGGAATAGCAACAGCCACAGGATTCAAGGCAGGGAGTATAATTGTCTTTTAAGTGAGAATCACTGCTTTCAGCATCCTCCAGTAACTAAAGTCGAGCACAATGTGATTTGGGGGCAGACACGCAGCCATGAACATTGTCACACACCACATCTATGTAGACCTATGAATACATGTGTGTACACGTGTAACATGGATCACATGAGGACAACCACAGCATTATATCCACATGGGAGAAAGACAGCTAGATAGATATAGACAGATAATATAGATATATAGATAGATTTATCTCCAATTTTACTCAGATACACACACTCTGGGGCTGACTCTGCACACTGTCACACATATTTCTTTTCAAACAACTGGTCAGAATGAGTTGAGTGCTGACAGGTTGCTAACTGGTTATATTGCAGTTAACTAACTTTCTGTTGGTTGGGACTCAATGATCTAACAACAAAAACAAAAAAGTAAAAAAATTGAAACTTTGGGGGGTGTCTTCCTAACTTGCAAGTGTGGAATGAATGCTGAAAAGAAGTAAAGAGAGGGGACCAGACAAACACACTGGAGCTTGGAGCAAGCGCCCCATGCCACCCTGAAAAAGAAAAGGGAAGACCCCAGAACAGGAGTGTCCCTCCTAAGGGACTGTGTCTATCTCACCTAACACATAGTTCTGGGTGAATTCAGGGAGCTGGATGAGCCACAGAGTTGCCTCAGTTTACCAGTTCTTTGGAGAGATGTGGACGTAGCTCGGGTAGGAGTGAATGGACATGCCTGAGGCTACCAGGCGCCTGAGTGGGAGCGCTCCTGCTGGGGGCTTCTGCACTGCCTTTTCAGAGCCAGACATCTCAGCTCCCTCCCCAGTAACGCCTCCTTCTTGCCTCCCAGGTTGCAGGTATGTTTCCTCCTCCCCTTCCTTCCCCAGAAACCCCTTCCCTTTGACCTCCTCCACTAACTCCGAGAGTACAAAGTTGCTCCAGTTGCGGGAGGCTGGAGACCCCACCACTCCTCCCCTGCCTTCCTCCAACCCTCCCCCCACCCCTCTGGGCCCCTCCAGTTCAGGGCTGCAGCCAGGAGAGAACCTCAGGGAAAGAGTGCTCCCCTACTCTCCACATCTTTCTACCCACCCCCAGGTGGCACGGACACGGCAGAGGCTGGAAAGCAGGGCACAGATGGGGCTATTCTGGGCCGGGTTAAGCTCTTTATGCCAAAGTAGACGTCTGGAGCCCCGGTCCAGGGGCCAGTGACAGAGACAATGGAGCCCATAGTCTAAAAACATAATTTAATGCATTGCAGAGGGAGTGCGGTGTGGAGAGGTGAATTTCCGTTTGCTGGAATTCTGCTGTGGGTGGGTTTTGGCTGATGGACAGGGAAATTTGCACAAGTATTTTGGGTCACAAAGAAGGAAGCCCCAGGGAGCCTGTGCTCACTTCAGCCTACCTCCCTGGCCAGGGCCTGGAGCCCTTGGCCTTGGGGCACTGGGAGGAGGAGGAGGAGGTCTGGAAGAGGGAAGGCCCCCTGCCCCGACCGTCCAGTACAATCAGGTTTGCAAAGTCTGCGCCGCCACCAGCCTCGAGGGCTGAGGTTCAAGCTCAACTCGCCACGTAAGCGTCCTGCTCTCCCTCCTCGGGCTGGGAACAGGGACCAGGGGCAAAGCCCAGAGCGTGGTGAGTCGCAGACATAGAGGCCGGGACGGGGTAGGGAGGGCAGCAGGGATGTGTATTTTCCAACGGAGATGTCAGGAAGTGTCATGAAGCGAGAGTGGCCCTCACCAAGGAGCCGCGCGCCCCCGCGGGGACAGGGCAGTCTGAAACCACCCCCACCTCGCGCCCCTGCGCCCCTAATCCGGGTACAGAAGAAAGCCCGAGAACGTGCTGTACTTGTTGTTATTGCCTCCGTGCGCTTTCCCGCCGTCCAGCTTCACGTACACCTCGTCCCCAGAATCAAGGTGCAGCACCACGCTGTTACTGGCGTAGTCGTAGTTCTGGTCGGCGTCTTGCGCGATGGCGCTGGCCCGGACCTGTGGGCGAGCCGCAGGAGCAGGTGAGCCGGCGCACCTCATCCCCAGCCCTTGCCCGGCCCCCACCTGGCAAGCTCCCTGGCCCGCTTTCCGCCTGCGGCTTTGGGGTCTACATTCCCGCCCCAGCTCCACACTCTCCAACTTGACCAACTCCTTCTTGGTCCCCTCCTCTCCGCAGCCGGCGAGTCCGGGGAGGAGGGAAAGGGGGCTTCCTGGACACAGACCCAGCGGAGAAGGGTGGGCACTAGGGGCCAGGGCCAAGAGGAAAGGAGGCTGGAAGACAAAGGGGTGACGGGGTGCACAGCGGGAGCTAAAGAAAACTGAGGATTCCGAGGAGCCCACGCGGCTACGGTCAGAGACGCAAGTAGCCGAGAAGCACAGTTTGGGTGTGAGGGTCTCTGGGTTGAGCTCGGGGCTCAACCTCTGGCGCTAAGTTCCAGTAAGCGCGGCCGGGGCGCCTTGGGAAGCGGAGCGCTGTAGCCCAGCGACGCGCTCCCTGCCGTGCTCGCTCCGGCGCTCGGCGCTCATAGGTGGAGGGAAAGGAGGCTGGTTCGGGGCGCGAGCGAGGGTTTGCGGGGCTGTGGGTCACTGACCTGGCCGTTTTTGCAGAGGTCCGCCCACATGCTGGTCCCGTCGCCGCCGCGCATGAGGATGTGGTAGGTGAAGAAGTAGATGCCGCGCACCTGGCAGCTGAACTTGCCGGTGGTGGGGTCGTAATGATTGCCGAGATTGGTGACCACGTCGTCGAACTTGAGCACCTCGTAGCCTTCGTGGGGGCTCTTGAGACCCACGTAGAAGGCGATCTTGGGACCGCTGAAGGCGGCGCTCAGCGCGCTGGTCACTTCGCCTTCGGAGTCGCCGCCGCCCCCGGCTCCGCCTCCCACCACCCCGACGCCGCCGGTCCCGCCCGCCGTCAGCTGCAGCCCGGGCAACCCAGGCCTCCCTGAGTCGCCCTTCTCCCCCGGAGGGCCCCTGGGGCCAGGGGGCCCCGGCT